TCGGTTGGCGAGGCAAATGGGATACGTTGGTATGGGCATGTGCTGAGGAGGGAGGATGGGCATGTATTAAGAAGGGCCCTTGATTTAGAGGTAAGCGGTCCAAGGAAAAGGGGAAGGCCAAAGAAGACGTGGAAGATGCAAGTGGAGGAGGAGAGTGGGAAGGTTGGGATGAGGATGAGGGATGCTTTAAATCGTGCAAAGTGGAGGGAGGGGGTAAGAGCAATTGCCACTAGTTTAAGGTGAATCCGGCCACCCTCGTCTTCGGGGACCAAACCGGATTTAAAACTCTGGACTACTACTACTAAAATGGACGCATTTCAGCCATCTTGAATATGGTCACAAAATGAATAAATATGCAACATGATGTATATAGTTTGAGCATTATCGGTCAAGGATATTTATCTGGAACAGTTTTCTTAAAACTGATCTGAAAAAAACAAAATTACATGCATCAAGGCACCATAAAGTCTGATGTTTGTACCAAGTTTGAAAGAAATGCTTGCATACACAACTGAGATCCAGTTTTGGAATGGCAGAAATGTTTCATCATGATGAATTGTTAACAGGGCAATCTTTATTCAAAACACACAAAGGTTAAAAGTTCTTCATTTTGGACAGGGACTAGTAAGCAGCCAAGCAAAAATTAGTTTTTGTGGCTCTTATCACAATTTTATTTCTTCTAAAGGCCAATGTACCCCAGCAGCCAACGAACTGACTCAACATGATTTTGATGGCGATTCCATTTTGACTGGGGGAGTCGGACGTGTTAGATGTTCAGTGGTATGCATACTGGGGGATGTCAATTTCTATAACATTACAAGCTCTGGGAGAGGGGAGATAGCAGTAGTAACTAAGCAAATAATTTTTCTTTCACATACTGCTAAATTTTTAATTCTTATTAATTAATTCTGTAATGGTTAACCCTCATGACATTTGAAGGCATGGATGTTGAAATTTACATACACTGTAAATAGCTCATTTTCAGTACTTTGCGAGATCACGCGTACCATAACAGGTTGCTAACCACGTGACAAGGACACGCTCCCCATCAAAATGCTACCTTGTGTGATTCCGGGAATCATTTCACTACTGTAAAATACATTATTTTCACTTGGAATTAATTTTTGCTGAAGGAATGATTCAGTGAAAATAAAAACCAGCGAATATATCTTTTTTCCTATATTTTACATTCAACTTGTCAGAAATCAGTGAAAATAAATTCCATACTGATACAAAACACCCAGAAAGTCTTTTTAGCAAAAATTAATTCCAGCTAAAATAAAGTATTTAACAGTATCTTCCTCCATTCGGGCCTCCTATCTATATATTGTCCTAGTCTTGTAATACTTTTTTATTTACCATACTTATTATTATTATTATATATATAATCAGCTGTCCATTGAAACTGCCACCAATAATAATAATAGATGCACGTACTTGACCTAATTACACCCGTTGAGGTTATACCTCCTTGTTATACCCTACCCGGAACCTCCCATCGTGTAATGCAAAAGGCGGCACTTCTTGAGTTTCGACTTGTGGTGTGATTCATGTTTCCACTCATATTTCCCAAATGCTGATGTTGTCAGCTATACTCAGTAGCTATGTAGCACATTTTCTATTGCTAACAATTGACGGTGAAGGTCATATGCCATTTCTAAGACATTGTTCTGTAGATGATAGGCATTGCTGGATTGGGGCGTCAATTGGGTCTGTGGCGCAACGGATAACGCGTCTGACTACGGATCAGAAGATTCCAGGTTCGAATCCTGGCAGGCTCGGTATTAGTTTTAGTGTCCATTATTTTGTATAAAACTGTTTTCTTTCATGTGACTTTTTGTCTGATAACTTTGCAGTCGTTATCGCGCGGTTACAGGGTACATAGAAATCATCATGTGATGGCGCTAACACGCTTGGTAATGACCTGCCCAGGAAGGACAGTGACTGATCACCATTATTTATTAATTTGTTAAAATTAAACCTTGGATCATATTTTCCATTCGTTTAAATAGATTTCCACATTTAGAGAAAATAACATTTTTTTAGTGTTTCATTATGGTACACACAAGATGCCTTTTAGATCATGGAAACACATGCGTTGAAATCCCATCTCACTGTGACCCTACAATTGGTGATAAACACAAAAAAAAACAATATCTTGATTGGCGTTTCGGGTGCAATGGCCAGGAATCACAAACTTTGTAACGGTGTTGATTATATTGGGTTCAGTGTTTCAATCGAACTAAAAATGTGTGGATAACTGAAAGATCTAATCACATTAACGCCAAAGTAATCACATCTTGTGTGTACGGTGCTGGGATATTGATTAATAAAGTACCGTTGTCTGAATTTAAAAAATAAATTATTTTTCGATTAGTTTGATAAGAAAAAGTTTTCAAAATGGGATAGTGAAGCAATTTCAATGTAATTGATCATGCGAGTGAATACTAATAATAATGTTACAAGGTGACGAACTTGAGTTGAAAGTCGCGAGATGTTCTTCATAAATTTCGAGTTACATTTTTTTACATCACCCCAAGCGTTGTTTCGTCAAAAGTGGATGTCGTCGCCCCCAAAAAGTATACATACTGTATATTTGTTTTTGTGGTATCTTGTCTGTACATTTTTTAACAAATCTTCCAAGCAAGTATTCCAGCTGGTTGACCCCTAACTCGAAGACCTAACTCCGTATAGCAGACGCCGTTTATAATAAGTGTCAGCTACATTATCTCTGACTTTCTTTGAGTTAGCGTGTGTTATTTATGTTGCGTAATTTAAAAATACTAGAAATACTATCACTATCCAATTGTCGAACGGCACACTACTACACAGACTTTGGCATCTTGTAAATGTAAATAAAATATTTGCAGGAAAAAAAATGCAACTAGCCCCCGCCATCTTAAATTTTCAAGGTATAATGTTCCAGCTTACTGCCTCTACGTGATCGTGGAGAGAGGGATAAACGGATACGAAACCGTGCCATCGGATTACCTCGCGTTTAAACGGGTGAACTCATATTTGAAACACGGTCCATTGTGTGTACGGAACGTGCAGTTCGGGGCACATTTCTTCCATGATGCAGAAGGCTTCTTTTCGAGTTTGAATTTGTGGAAATATGGAGTTGTCATAATAACGCAATGTCCAGTGCAGCTTGTGTAACAACTTTTCCGTAATCCCGCGCCATCTAGCGGCGAAACTCATCAGTGACGTGAACACTTGGGTCGATACTCGTTTTGATCTGCAGCCAATCGTTCATAGAACATAATATTTGAAGAGATTCACTGTATAAAAACCGAGCATACTTTCTTTATAGATCACATTGATATGTAGAAAATATACATTCTGGAAGGAGGAATCTATACTAATATACACTAAATACTAGTAATACAAGCGTGTTACACTTGCGTCTTACAAAGTGCAACACGTACCGTGACTGCATCTTCAACCTGACAACGAATGGTGATTATGTCATAACATTTCATTTTATACACGCGGAAACGAATTAAAACATGATATTTTTGGTTATTTAATTGAAACTAGTAACTGGACTGCTTTGATATGCGGATATGCGGAGATCTATTATATCTCCAGTGATTAGTTTGGTTATTTTTAGTATCTGTATGGTGGTGCGTGTTGCTGTGTGGATGGTGCGCAATTTATTAGATAAATACTTTATTAATAACAAAAGCGACGTAATTCGGTGGGTGGGTTGGTGTATACACACATTGTTAGTAAATAAATAAATAATTAATTTTGCCAATATTCTTTTAATTCAATTGATTAGAACAAAGAATGTCATACCGCGTACATGAACTTCCGACTTGATAGTACCCCAAGTATAACAACATATGTACTATAATTAATTGCAGAAATACATGTATATATCACTGTAACTGTGACTAGTCCCTTCCATTTACCTCAGTGGTCCACCGTCCGGTGTTGAGAGACGGTGAGTGGTCTGAGCATTTACCAGGGAATCGCACACTCGTGCGTGTTAATAGTTTAAACTTACCAAGTGATGGCGCTAAACCTCTAGTTTCATACTTTTTACTGATTGAGATTGAATAATCGACACATAGGAACGTTTTCCGACTGATTTGCCCACACGTATTGTGAATGTACATGGACACGCGCACAAATTCAACCTAAAAATATGCACTAATTTTATGTGTATGCTAAATTTTCAAGTTCCGCAGACTATCTATATATTATCTTCTGTCATTTTACTGTTGGCTTGTTGGGAATCTCTCACTCAACTGCATTAGCAAGGTCAGTGAAGATGCCTACAAACTTTCCTCTGTAAATTCAATTTAAAATAAACACTTTTAAAATACGATTTATTGTTTCTCATTGTTGACTTTAAATCGCTGCTACATAAATACATTCGTACAAATCAATAATCAAGGTTTGCGGGTAATACCCCCAAAACTTGAAGCGTACTACTTAAAAAAACTTAACATAGAATTATTCTTCAGTGACAAAGATGGCGAGGATGTAACGCTGCCACTTGACGATATCGAAATTATGAAAGCCATTTACACACTCCCGTGATATGTTATTTTATTGGAAAAATACATAAAAAAATAAACAAGAGACTGTATGCAAGTATAAGGCGAATATATTTTTTACAACCTTAACTTCTACTTGTACAAATATTGATTGTAACATTATTTGGTTAGGTAGCTCGTCCTCTTCGTAAATTAGGTGGAAAAAATTCATTAAAATGCGTTCACTGTCTAGTCTTGATTAACGATGTCGTCCCGAAGTACAAAAGTACATCATACGGTATTATTTTTTTCCAAAATATAAATTCAAACCATAATTCCACTGTCTTGTTTAAAACATAGTTATAATATTTCATACGGCGGTTTTGTAATGATCTAACCTCGAATGGGGTAAGATAATTCCATGGAAACTTTGCTATTCAATGATAATGGTTTGCTGGAAACTTAGTATTTAACTCGCGTTCATGTTCATGCTTTGAATAGAATATTATATAAATAATCGTAAATGATGATTTTTCAAGTATAATCCCACTCTTGAATATTAGTAGTTTACTCTTTTGGCGTGCAAGCGCTGATTTGTTGATGTTTTTTTCCTCGAAATTGATTCGAGAGTTAAGTTCTGAATAGTTCAGATCTGTTTCATGTTGGCCAAACAGTTTCGTTTTAAGGAATTGTCTCAAGGAAGAGATTGATCAATGTTATGCATGCTCATAATGTGAAGTCTAAAAATGAGTAATGGGCCATATTTATAAGAAAATTGCGTTTTGTTACTCGAGTTCGGAGTTAATGCGCGAGACTCACCGGGAAACAAGTAAGACACGACCCTTTCAAATGTGAAAAATATTAACTTTTCTTTGAAATTCAACGCAAATGGGACAATGATGAAACTGTTTCGGAGTTCATTGAAAACACGGCACATCACTACCTCCACAACATCGTATTGATGGATTTAGACTATCCAGGGTCCCTCACTTCATCCGCTGTTGTAAACACAGCCATGTAATATACTATAAAATATAGCCAAGTTTCTGACCATTCTTGGACATTATCAGAGTCTCCTAGCAACACCAGGACAACTTTCCAGACTCACAACCATAGCACTTTGCGTCATCAGCGAATTTGTTAACACTGGAGTTAGGTATTTTAGTAAATCAATGTCACAGACTACGAACAATATCGGAGAGACGTAAACCGTGTACATTTTATTGATATCGCATTGCCCAATGTTGGTACCATTGTTTTGATTATGAAATCTACCCAGAACCCAGCTATCAGGTTAAGACCATTACATATATCCGGGTGGGCCATTTTTTGTTTGTTAGTCGGGCATCTCTAGAATGATTTCTGACATACCAGTGTGCTCCTCAACCCTATGCGCAACCTCCACGAATCCGTATTTTTCATAGAATCTTCTAGCTTTTTCGTTTGCAGTATACACCGACACACTCAGTCTGCCTCTCAGTTCAACGGCTTTGTCCAGCATCATTCGACCAGTACCCTGTCCCTGATACTCGGGCGTCACAAATAACCCTTGTACGTAGCTTCCTTCCAGTGCAATGTAACCAATGACAACGCGGTTTTTGACAGCCACGAGTTTCTCCCACTTTGGGAGGAGTTTGTCTCTCATTATGGGGTAAATAGATGCTAATCTCTGGTTTGATATCACGTTCATTGATTTACCCGTTTCGTACCATACGAGCATGACGTCATCCGCATCGCTGTCCGCATAATGTCGTATCGACACCGTGTCGTTGACCTGTGTGGTTTCCATCCAATCGTATGACTTGTAAGAATGACGTAGGTCTCATAAATACCTTGGCCACACCAAATGTGCCTATTTCCGGGTGTCAGAGTGAAATGACCTGTGTGACCTCCACATCACGTTTTGACCTGAGTGTCCAAAGTCTACTGTGGATATTTTATTATAGTTTGGACCAAATAAACAGCAACCGGTTTCGCTGCTTCCGAAAATATTCATTGAAACTAGTATTATTGATATATAATGACATTGTAAATATTACTTTCTACTTTTTAACCAAATTTCACGACTATCAACACAATCCTTTCGACTTTCACCAAACTACAGGGTAACTTATGCAACTTTGCAGCCAACGAGAGGTTCAACGAGAGTGACTTAACCAAAAGTCATATTCTTATAATGACCGAGGTACAATTTATTGCAAAGTAGATAAATTCTTGGTACATGTGAATATTCGAAAGGCTTAGAAAAAACAGTAGATATTAGACAACACGACAGAAGAGGGCGCAAATAGAGTCTAGGGCTAAATGGTCTTTGCGCATGTGTGGTGAACTTTGACAATTTTGTTTTCTTTGTGAAACGTTTTCGGTCGTCAGACGCTGGTCATCTTTTAGCTCAAACTCGTGATTTTCAGCGACCCATATTGGTCCACAATAAGAACGTGTAATCCATACTTTCTTATAGCTACACTGAAGCCTATCTGTTTGAGAAACAAGCATATTGAACGTTGTTACTTACTTCACAGTGTTAGTCAATCGAGCCAAGGGAGAACGGCACTTGGCAAAAAATATGGCCGACATCGACGAGTTGGATAAGTTGGAGTATTTGTCGTTGGTTTCTAAAGTGTGTACTGAATTAGACAACCATCTAGGGCTCAATGACAAGGACTTGGGTAAGTGTTTGGATATGTGCTTTAGGATGCTCTGTTAACTCCGCCGAGTTCAAAATGAACATTGTGATAGATTCATTATGTTCCCATCGTGGTGTAATATTGACAGGAGCACTGTACAATTGCGGTAATTCATGCAGACCTAAATCTAGACCTAGACCGAACTAGCGGTATATATATTATTAGTACTAGTATATATCCATTGGGAAAGACTTTTTTATCCCCACCCCACCCACATTTGTTGTTGAGGGGGAGGGGGGCATGTCAGTATACTGTTCACTGAGAAGAGGATGCCAAATAATCTAAACATGTACATGTACATATGTTGTGAAATGTATTAGTAGCTGTAACACCCGAGTGAAGCGAAACTACTCAACGCCAATGATGGTTCCATTGAGTGTGAAGTAATATTATTATGATTGTTCCACCAATAAGCACTGCATGATGTTTACACCATTTGACTTGTGAAGTTGTCACCTTCATTTTCACTGATCTTGAAATAGTAGAAACTTACCAACACTGGCAACAGAAGGGAAGTCTATAAATTGTATTTTATAATGGGCAAGGATTCCTATTTTGACATTTTCAGGAATGAACAGCGTTATATTTTTGCTGCGTCATTGTGTGTGCTATGTGGCAATGATAGGTCCATTTGACCATGATTTTGAACTAGTGTAAATGCACTTTAATATGTTATGTTTCGTTGACTATAATTTATGTACTAGGATTCACAACGTGGTTTCATGTCAAATAAAATATACTTGGTAATAAGAGGTGAGGCTTTCTTGTATATTTGGGCACAGATCTAGAAGCAGTACCTACACACGAATTGGTGACGTCATAAAATACATGACCTTCAATCGGGGTCGTTTCCTCGGTATATACGAATTGGTATATACAAATTACAATAAAGATACTTAAGACATTACACATAAGGTAAAACAAATCACGTGACAATATAATGATAATAACGGTAATAAATCCTACTAGCTTAACAGTTGAAGAGAACATCAGTCGGGTGACGCCGAGGGTCACGAACTGTGTTGCAAAATGGCCGTGTGGTTGAAACTGGGTCATGGCGTGACGCGTGAGGAAGACATCATTAAACACTCAAAATCACAATAAAACGGGGAAGTGGTTGCATATTACGGCGTAGCTAACATGGGAAATAAAAAAACGCCCAATACAAACGACATGGGTTCGAATCACACTAGATACACACTCACCAGAACCGAAGCAATCAG